AACTCATCAGTTATCATTCATCTCAGTTATAGTATATGGGTATTCCCCATCTTTTCATCTTATTTATGATTATAGCTTCCGCACATTTTCTATTATTCAGATTATATTTAGTATGCTCATGATCATGCCAGTAGGGTTAGCTTGGGATCACTTGTGGTCCTAGGTCCCGTGTCCGCGTCTCGGGGGTAGCTCAAGTTCATGGAGAACCCCCTAATGTATCAACCCAAAATCTTGATTTAAACTCATAATAATCTCAATAATAATAATAATAATAATGGGTAATTGAAGATTTAGAGTTAAGAAATGTTACCCAAAAATTATCTTTAAAAACCACTTGAAATTCCCTCTATCGAGTTCTCAAAGCACCAACAATGGAAACTGGGGAAGGAACCCTGAAATTTGGTTTTAAATACTACCAGGGGTCCTTCGTGAATGTAGACCCCTACCCGCAAATGCGGATTTTAATGATCTGGATTTTCGTGAACGTGACAGGTCTTTCTCAAATGCGGAGGTCAATGCATTGACCTCCCGTGAATGCGATCGAGACTCCGTGAACAAGGGTTGTCACCCTCTCCCCTCCAAGAACGCAGGCACAAGCTCCGCGAACGGGAAGGGTGCACCAGAACACAATAGAAGAAAATCAGTTTGTAACAACCCGTATCCGAAAGAGAGAAGTTTAAAGGATTTTAGAACTCCAGGTGTCATCCACGAGGGCCAACCACGACCAGTAGTTTGATCTACGCCCCGTAGGTGGACGCCACAGACAGTGCCTAAGGCAGAACCACAGCTAGACCCACGCCTCGTGGATGGGTCCATGCTCCGTGGTTTGAGGTGTCGTAGGTGGACATAAAAGTCTCTTAACCAAACCACGCTTGACCAGGACGGACCGTAGGTCCATCCATGGCCCGTCAACGTGGTCTCGTGGTTGGTTACTGGATGATTAGTTTGGGGACACAAGGGTTCTTTTCGAATTTAATTAGATTTAAGTGGTGTCGTTTTACCCTAGTCTAAACCACATATATAAGTACTTTAAACTCCTAATCTAAGTCATTATCTCAAAATCACCAAAAGAATTGGGTTCCTCTCAAATAATTCTCTCTTTAGAAAGTTGAAGAAGAAGAAGAGGGTTCAAGTTAGGTCAAGTCAAGTCTCCATTGTTTCAAGCTTGGTAGGCTTTGTAATCAAGGTATGATGACTTATTCATCCATGAAATCCTTTCATCCACGGAGTCCCCTAGAATTCCACAATTTGAAGAAGAATTCCCCAATTCTAGTTAGGGTTTCTTCTAATGTTGTGGGTTATGATGAATATTGATCCAATTGAGTGGATTATGATTGTTTATGATTGAATTTATAGAATTGCATGTATTTAGGATGAATTTACATGTACTCATGCCTAATCCTTGTATCTAACCTAGAATCGATGAAATTGGATTTTATGCCATGAAAGGGGAAATTGAGGACTTAGATGTAATCTTCTAGGATTGATGATATACATTATAGATTGCTTGTGATTGAAGCATATAAATATGAATTTCTCAAGAGTAAATCTTATAGACATGAATTGATTAAGATAAAGTATGTTTGATGAATTATGAATTGTAAGGCCTGAGATTAGGATTGTCTTGAGACTAAGGCATGTATGATGAATGATGATTGTTAGGGCTTTTAAAATAAAAGCTAAGATGATGAGTATGACTAGAAGGGCTTTGAGAGTAAAGCTTAATCGATGAATTATGATGATTAGAGCTTTGAGAGTAAAGCTTATGCATGTTGATTTGTATATAGTATTGTTGTGGAAAGATTTACCCACATGACCTATATTATGTATGTATGAATGTATATGTGAAAGGTTTTCTCACATAGAATGATTCTAGGTTGAAAGACTTGCTCACCTAAAATGAATCAAAGCATGTATGAACTATGATAGCTTGAAGTAGTGATATGATATCCCTTCATGAATAACTTGACTTGGTAAGACAGGACCATGCATGGTAGCTTGAGTAGTAGATCTTATGGATAGCCTTGGATTGAGAAATCGTACCCTTTCAAAGGTTAGCTTGGACTAGCATAATAGAATGCTTGCATGATAGCTTGACTTGGTGAGGCCACACCACTTCATGATAGCTTGGATTGAGCAATAGTACCTTTCATTGAGTAGCTTGGACTTGCATGAGAGGATGATGATAGCTTGGTCTAGCATGATGAGGTGTTTTTCCTTGATAGCCTTGAATCGGTAAATCGTAACCATTCATGAGTGATGATATGTCTTGGACTAGCAGAGAGATACTCTTCCATGAATAGTAAGAATGACTATAGAGGGACAAGTCCCTAATCAAAGTAGCATGTTTATGATGAAACAAGGGTACTTCAAGGAAGTATTGTAAGTATGTTTTGATATGAGGTTTAGTTGTATGATGTTAGATTAGCATGGATTGTTGCTTGAGTTGCCTTCCTTGATATGTATGACTAGAGGTGAATGACCTATGAATTGAGTAAGAACAAGTTGAGGTTACTTGAGAAGTGTTCCTCTTATGATATGATGATTTATGTGCATTGAATATGCTTATGACTTATGTTGTTATCTCTTATGATTATGGTCTATGTCTTATGTTGACTAATGCCTATGTTATTCTTATGTTGATGATTTATGTTAGCCATCATATTTAGTACATTTTTGTACTAATACATATTGTTGCCTACATTTAATAAGAATGTAGGCAACAATATGTATTAGTACAAAAGTGGGTTCGACGATATTGACTTCCATCCTCATGGCTAGGTTCATAATAGAGCAAGCAAGTGAAAATTTGGTGAGTCCTCATAGCATCGAGGATTTGACCACATTTCCTTTATGTCTTTCTTTTATGTTTAGAACATTTGTATGGGCTGTGTCCCTAAGTCTTTCAAGTATTAGATGGTTTGAGACAATGTTAAAGACTTCCGCTTCGTTTTATAAAACTTTGATGTTATTGAAAATATTTTAAATTTCCATACCATTTTCTATTACTTTATGTTATGATATGCTAAGGGTCTTGTATGAGGCCTCTCGGGGAATCGTACGCCTTGTTACATCTAGGGGGGGTACCCCTGAGTCGTGACACAACTAACTATCAAACTTTGAAAGGACCCTCAGGATTTGTTAATAACCCTATACACATAAACCACATATGCAAATCAATTGTACTCGACGTTCTAGACTTAATGGAATTGTCAAAACACGAATTCGAGGTCTCCTTCACCCGACATCCGTGAAAACCACAAGAAACTAATTCACGCCTGAAATGGGTAAAACAAGCTCGGGATCTCTCAAAAATCAACCAAGACCTCACCTAGGCCTAAAATCATCCCCCGAATCGAACGAAACTCTCGGAATTCCGATTCGAGCATCCGGACCCCGAATGTTGACCAAAGTCAACCCAAAGACTAAATTTTCACAATTTCACAACTTAGAACCTCAAATCCTCAAAAAGACTCAGAAATTGAAACAGACAACTCTCATAGCTTGGTTCCACATTTCGAGATTGATGGAATCGATGGAATTCCATTTCGACACTCGAAACTCCAAATGATCCCAAAATTCACTTTCTTAACAACTTAGCCTTTAAAACTCACAAACTTACCAATTCTCAACTTTTAACTCAACGTTCAAAACCAACTTTTCAAACTCAATCACAAAAGGCTTGGGGTCGACATCGGGAGGGGCAAAATGATAAATTCATGAAACTTTCCAAAAACTCGACCCTTGTAAGACTCATTTTGTCATGAGCCTTGTAAGACTTGTTCTGTCATGAGCCTTATCCTATAACTTTGACGTTGTTAACGGTGTATAACACCAATATTGCCCCTTTGGTTTCATCCTTAAATTGTTTGCCCTTTAAAAAGTTTTGATCAATCTTATTACCCTTTTTGGCTCCGAACTCTCTCCCCAACTACAGTAATAGTTGGAGCTGAGAGTTGCTTGAGGCCCATGTTTATATAAAAGAGTTCTGAAATTAAGAAAAAAACTATGAAAACATATACATGCCGATATTAGAAATAATCCCAGTTTTAAAATAAATATTTTTAAACTATGCAAAATAATTTATTTTAGCTAAAAGTACTAATTATCTTCTTTTTCTAACGGCTATAAAGTGGTTAGAAATTGCATCCAATCATCTCCTTTTTTCTAATGTCTAAAATACTAAACACATTTCTTTAAATTTTACTAGTCTTGCTGTTGATATTTCAAAGAGAAATTAGGTATGGAAAATAATTATTCTCCATATACATATCAAATAATCAATCTAATGCATGTACATGTGTTAACCTTTTGTATTAATAGTACATAAAAATTCAAAGCGAAATTAGGTATGGAAAATAATTATTCTCCATATACATATCAAATAATTATTGCTTTCTTCTATTAAAATAAATGACTGATCGTACAATTTATTCATATCAAATAATCAATCAATTCATATCAAATAATCAATCAATTCAAAGTTTGGAAAAAGTTGTCATCCTCAAGTCAATGCCCAAATCTTATGGGAAACTTTTTGGCACATAATTGTTTTTCTAGTCCAAAAAATAAAATAAAACAAGCAAGACACAATTTCTATGTCGTTTGATAGAGTGTATTAGAAAAAACAATGCATGTATTAGTTTTGTTTATTATTAGTAATTTAGTATCTTGTTTGGTAAGCATTTGTTATATACTCTGGGATCATTTGATAGGATATATAAGAATAATGTTGAATAAAGTGTATTAGTAATGCATGTATTCATAATGCTTGTATTAAGTAATACTTACATTAATATACTGAGATTATTTCTTATGTAGTTTTGGTTTGATGTATTATTAATTAATAAAACGCATTGCATACCTTCAATAAAAAAAATTGCTTACAATAATACCCTCCACACTCTTTAGCTTTCGAAGATGAAAAATGTTTTGATAGGAATTTGAAGGGTTATTATGTCATTAATCAATCTAATGCATGTACATGTGTTGACCTTTTATATTAATAGTACATAAAAATTCATGGTATTAATAATACACATCTATAACTGATACAAACTCTCATACTTGAATCAAGAAATGCATACAGTTCATCCAATACACACAACATTTATTGAATATATTAATATCTTACATAAACTTGATATATCATCAAAGTTCATAACATTACATTTCTCATGAGCATTCCACCAAATGTTCCTCCAAGCACCTGCATGTTCAAATTTGTTTATTTATTATCTGATTTTTATTTTTACTCAAAGAGAAAGTTAAGTCTTACTATTGCTTCTACTAATTGATTTTTGAAAGAGAAATATGTTTTGGTAGAGCATTCAATTAGTTGTTGAGATAACTAAAGATCAAACAAGAACTTACCTTTGACTTCGCTTCTTCCTTATCTGTCTCATAATAATTTTTTCTTCTAACTTTTCAAAAATATTTGCAAGCCATTTTAGATTTCCAGTTGAGATCATGATATATATAATGGATACTCCAATACATAGCCCACTTCCATATCCCATAAGAGCAGCTTTCCAAAAATCATTTAGAAATTCAGAATTGCTTTCTTCATCATCTGGCTCATAATCTCTATTATTTGTCTCTGGTATCCAATTACTTCCACAACCTTTTGAAACTGGGAACCCTCGTAATCCATCATTACCTTCATATGAATTATTTTGAAATGTATCAAATTGATGTCCTTGAGGAATGCATCCTTGGAGATGATTGTGAGAGAGATTTAAGAATGAAAGAAATGTAAGAGCAGCAAGTTGTTGTGGTATCTCTCCTGAAAGCTGGTTGAATGAAAGATCCAATGATTCGACTAAATATAAACTTTCAAGTGATGATGGTATATTACCTTGCAATCTGTTATGAGACAAATTTAGCACCTTAAGTGCAATGAGATCTCCCAAACTACTTGGAATATGTCCTTCAAATTTGTTACTTGAAAGATCGATAGTCTTGAAAAGTGTCAAAATTCTATCCAGTTCATACTCCATTCCCTTCGTTGAAACTGTTACAGAATCATTGTAATCTCTCTCTCCAGATTTACCAAGATATGTTGGTACCTTTGCTGTTTGATCAATTGTCCTCATGGCTTTCAATTTTTGAAATAGACTAGTCGACAAATTTCCTGTGAAAGCATTATAAGAAAGATCTATGATTCGAAGCTCAGAAAACATGTTTCCATTACTTAAAGTTCTAATTGGTCCATGCAATTTGTTCGATCTCAAGCTTAAAACTTTCAGATTTGGCAAAGTTTCAAACCATATTGGAAATGTGTCGTTGAAGTGATTGTCTCCTAAATCAAGAATTTCCAAGTTTTTACAATTGACTAAAGATCGGGGGATTTTTCCTTCTAATTCATTGTCATGCAAGTCTAAGCTTCTGAGTACACTTCCATTGCTAAAAGTTTCTGGAAGAGTCCCATAAAGATTGTTTTGGTGGATATCCAAAACCTCAAGATGACCACCCATGTTGCCAAGACATTGTGGAATTGCTCCCTTCAAATTGTTTCTACCCAAATCTAAAATCCTTAGTGATGTTAGATTGCAAATAGACGAAGGGATATCTTCACTGAGATTATTATCTTCTATTTTCAATACCTCGAGTCCACTGATATTAACTAGACATTGCGGAATTTCTCCCCTAAAGTTGTTTCTCCCCAAATACACCACTTCCAATTTCATCAAATTGCAGAAAGATGAAGGAATTTTCTCAGTGAGATTGTTGTTGTGGAGATACATCCATTGCAAGTTTCTCAAGTTGCCAAAGGAATCCGGAATTGAACCAATGAGTTGATTAATATTTAAATACATAGTAACTAGTCTTCCTATATTCCCCAACTCACTTGGAATCGAACCAGAAAGGTTGTTAGCATAAAGAGACAAAAGATACAAGTTGTTCAAATTCCCCAAAGAAGCAGGAATAGAACCATTAAGAAAATTAGTAGAAAAATCTAAATAACTAAGAGTCTTTAGGTAACCTATTTCTTTAGGAATGGAGCTAGAAAGATGATTCTCACGAAGATACATAGAGGTCAAGCTGGTCAAATTCCCCAATGAAGCAGGAATAGCACCACTTAGAGAATTTTTAGCCAAAACTAATTGACTAAGAGACCTTAAGTAACCTATTTCTTCAGGAATGGATCCAGAAAGGTTATTCTGATTAAGATAAAGAATAGACAGACTGGTCAAATTTCCCAATGAAGGGGGAATAGAGCCAATAAGGTGATTCTCATTAAGATACAAACCAGATAAGCTAGTCAAATTTCCCAATGAGGCAGGAATAGCACTACTTAGAGAATTCTTAGCCAAAACTAGTTGACTAAGAGACCTTAAATAACCTATTTCTTCAGGAATGGAGCCAGAAAGGTCATTCTCCTGAAGATACAGAATAGAAAGGCTGGTCAAATTTCCCAATAAAGCGGGAATAAAGCCAGAAAGGTGATTCCCATTAAGAAACAAACTAGATAAGTTGGTCAAATTTCCCAATGAAGTAGGAATAGAACCATTAAGAGAATTAGTACCCAAATCTAGAGAAGTAAGAAACCTTAAATAACCTATTTCTGTAGGAATCGAGCCAGAAAGATTATTCTGATAAAGAGACAAAATAGACAAGTTGGTCAAATTGCTCAATGAGGCAGGAATGGAACCATTTAAAAGGTTGTCATAGATGTAAATGTTCTGGAGCTTGGATAGTGAGCCGATTTGTGATGGGATTGTGCCTGAAATCTGATTGGTGTGCAAGTCAATATAGACAAGATTAGTGAGATTACCAATTTCAGGTGGGATAGTTCCAGAGAGATTATTCATACTAAGATCAACATATTCAAGAAAAGGAAGAGTCGAAAATGGAAAATCATAGAGTTTACCGATGACACAAGCACCTTGAATATCCAACTTGCTTACCCTACCATTTAAGCACATAACTCCATACCAATTCCCACATGCATTCGAGCTTTGTGTCCATGAAGTCAATAAGGAATTAGTATGGTTCTTGAAAGTTGCTTTCCATTTTAGGAGGGCAATTGCTTCCTCCATGGAAGCGAAAGTAACCGTAAAGAGATATAAGATAATGAGAAATTGAACTATTTTGGGAACCATCATCAAATATATTGATATGCAATTTTCTTGGATTATTTTCCTTTTGATGAACTTGTGTAGTGTACACAATTATTTATATTGTAGAGAACTTTTTTTAAGGTATTGATATCAATGACAAGTCAGTATTATTATAATAATTATTATTTTAATAAAATTGTATATCCTATTGGACAATAGTTTCTTTAGTCAAGCATAAGAAGCCAAATGAATAGAGAAATATTATTCTTAATTTACACCAGCCTCATATATACGACAGACACTTATGATTTTTTTTTTTTTAATCTTTTCTAATAGATATGATTGTTATAACAACAAATACTCCGTTTTCATCAATCAACATAGAGTTGGATTTAGTCAAGCATAAGAAGTCAAATAAGTTGGTAGGAAAACATTATACGAGGAGATCCTCTGTTCCTTTTTAGTTATCATGTTATCCTTTTCGAGAGTGAATTTGATTAATTTTTGAAATTAAATTAAATTACATTTAAAATAAAAAATTTAGATATTTAAAAACTATACGAAAAATATTATAAATTGTAACTTTTTTCATATCTATAAGATGAAAAAATACATCTTAAAATATTTGTCAAAATTTATATCATTTGACTTTCAAAAAGAAAATTATAACAACTAAAAAGAAACAGAGAGAGTAACGCGCAAACGGGTCTAGTCATTGGTCTCCTTTTGTATTTAATTTATTTTGTCTAAAGATATAAAATGTATTTTGTTGGTATTGAGAGATTTGTTTCTGTAGCACTTCACAATTATTTTTTTAATTTTAAGATATTTTTTTTCTGAGAGATGTTTATTTTTATATATAAAAAAAAGATCATTTCTCAACTCAATGCACAAATGTCGTTTTGTGAATTATCGGCCGGCCGGGTCAATATTAATAATATTGCACTAAACTACACTGTCATATTTACGTACAAATCACGCAAGAGTCATAGAATAAGTTATGTATAGATGATATTTAACGAAAAATTATATAAATACATAACTTAAATATTATAATCTCTAAAATTTCTTATCATTTAAAAAATTATAAAAATTCCTTCTTGGATATATCCATATTCCCTCTCGGATACATCTCTATCCCCTCTCGGATACATCCCTATTCCCTCTCAGATACAATCATTCCCTCTCGGATACATTCCTATCCACTCTTGTATACATCTCTATCCCCTCTCGGATACAACCCTATCCCCTCTCAGATACATCTCTATCCACTCTCGTATAAATCTCTATCCTCTCTTGGATACATCCATCCCATAAAGTAATGTATCATTTGTAATGTAATCCGAGAGCAATGAAAAATTCAAAATTTTTGTAATTGAGAAAATTTCTGAAATAAAATGTAATTAAGCCCTAAATGTATGTGGTTTGATAAGTTTCCCAATAATTAATCTTATGAAAACTAGGCCACAAATTAAATAAACCAAATCAATTAAGAAGATTAAACATTTATCTTTTAGGTTTTCTTCATCTCAATTTTTGTGACTCTGTTTGAATCGACATAAAGTTTAAGATTTTTTTTTTTTAAGTTTGTGTTCTAAAACACTCGTTGATTATTTATATGACTATAAGTTATTTTATTAAGGGTGAATAGAAAGTTTAAAGTTAAATTATTTTCAATTATAGAAGGTGACAATCATTTGATGATGGACTAAAAAATAAATTATGTCACGTAAATTGAAACATGAAAAATTGAATATGAGTTGCTTCTTATAACATGTAATTTCTTTTTCTAGTTCGAGTTTCAATTGTTTTATCATTTAATTAAATTATATTGTATTTTCAATATTTCCAGAAGATTGTTTATTTCAATTGAATACAAATTCTATTTATTGAGAGTTTCTGTAGTTTTCAGCTATTCTTCCAGCAACTGCCAATTTATTCACTTACTATTAATAACAACACTCTGGAACATAACAACTATCAAGTACTTCAAAAATAGGTAACTAAGGATTATATTGGGTGCATTTCCTAATATATGACGATTTCTATTGTTACAAACATACAATTCTTGGGAGATAAAAAAATAAAGCGAACCAAATAGTGAATCATTTTAATCAGATAAAGAGAACCTCGGAGATAAATATTATCCTACTTAAGATAAAATGTCACGGATTTTTCATAAGCCCTTCAATATTATTGTATAGGTGCATTTGATCTATATTGCAGAAGTTTTGAGCTCAAAGTATGAATTTTTTTTTGAATCCAGAACTTCTTAAATATTTTGAGAAATTTTTAAAAATAATTTGATTAACTCAGTTATCTTTTTGGCAGGCCGTTCAATCCTAGGGAATGGATTAATATATCATAGATCACTTCTTTCCTAAAAATAGATACGATGTTAATTTGAATTAATCTGAGTTAATAACCAAAAACATTAAATATATGACATTAAAAACAATAACTTCTAATTTATCCTGTTTATATCAAGAACTAATAAAACCCAAAATATTGTAATTCTTAGTAAAGAAAAGTATGTATGGTACAACATATTTCAGTTAATTTCTCAAAAAGGGTTTGCTTAAAGCAGCTTACATCTCATGTATGATTTGCAAGATATTGCAATGAGCGGATTTATTGTGTGTACGTCCAAAGAGTAGCAACTACAAATTAATCCGAAAATTTCCAAAAAAAGAAAAAGAAAAAGAAAAGATTTTTTTTTAAAAGTATGGTGTCATATTGATGTGGAATATAAGTCGTGCTCAACAAGTACATATAACTAATGGGCGCCAAATAATGAACAATATTTGCTAGGCCTACACATATCTCAACTTTTAAAAAAACTAATTTAATCAAATTTTCAATTAGGGTGTGCATTCGGTTTTTCGGTTTAGATTTTTCGGTTTTTGGTTTGTAAAAGTGTAACCCAATCCGATCCAAAATAAATTTGGTTTGGTTTGGTTTCCTTTATTCTGTTCAGCTTTTTTCGGTTTGGTTATTCGGTTATGTCAATAATTAATAACATAACCAAAGTAATAATATTGATTCTCTTAAATATACTTTATAATATAAATCATAAGTAAAACTTAAAACACAATACTTATAATTATACCTATTATAGATGTTCAAATATAAAATATAAATGTAATCATGATGAAAGGCAATAACCAAAAAGGGACAAAAGTGGTTAACTCCAACTTAATTCTAAACCTAAACATTTATATATATACACACATATAATTCAGTTTTTTCGATATTTTGGTTTTTATTTTTTTAATCCAAAACCAAACCAAAAAAACAAACAAAGTAATTTATTAATCCAAAACCAATCCGAAAACCAAAAACCAATCCAAAAACCAATCCAAATAAAAATTCGGTTTGATTTGGTTTGGTTATTCGGTTTAATCCGAATAGTGCACACCCCTATTTTCAATATAACAAAAAAGAAAAAAAAACGAGAACAACATTCTTGGAAGTTAATAATAAAATTGGATCAAAATTTTAAAAATAGGTGATTAAAATTGTTCATGGCTTCCCATTATCTCAAAACCTTAGTGGAACAGCATTAACCAAAAAATGGCAAAATCTTTGATATGTTTGGATTATTTAATTTTTAAATCATCATATTACCATCTTAGTTATGCTATATAAACTCCTAATTCCTCCATTCTAAAACACACAAGAAAAAGAAAAACAAACAAATATCTAGCCTTAGAATCCAATAATTCTTCTGAATGGGAAGCCAAATGAAGAAGCAATGGCTTCAATTTGCTTGTGCTTTGGCATTTTTCTTGATTGCCACATGCACTATGGCTTATTCACCTTATAATTCTTATGAATCATCAGATTCAACATATAATAAAGTACCAAACACAGTAGTCAAAAGTGAAGGCTTCAAGGTACCCTCAGAGTCAGAAAAGGAATATAAGTCATCATTTTTGTCAAAAAATGATTACTACAAGAAGCCATCAGTTTCAGAAGATAACTATAAGAAAGTACCCTTTGTTCCCAAACATGAATCATTCTTGCCAAAGAATGATTACTACAAGAAGCCATTATTTTCAGAAAATAACTACAAGAAAGAGTCATATGTTCCTGAGGTACCCTCAATGGATAAACCAGAATATAAGGAGTCATTTTTGCCAAAATTTGACTACTTCAAGAAGCCATCATTTTCAGAAGATAACTACAAGAAGGCGTCATATGTTCCAGAGGTACCCTCGATGGCTAAACCAGAATATAAGGAGTCATATTTTCCAAAATTTGACTACTTCAAGAAGCCATTAATTCCAAAAGATAACTACAAGAAGGCGTCATATGTTCCAGAGGTACCCACAAAGCCTAAACCGGAATACAAGGTACCATCTTTGCCAAAGAATGACTACTATAAGAAGCCATCAGTTCCAGAAGATAATTACAAAAAGGTATCATATGTTCCAAAGGTGCCCTTAGTGCCTAAAGAAGAATACAAGGTACCTTCTTTGCCAAAGAATGATTACTACAAGAAGCCATCAATTCCAGAAGATAACTACAAAAAGGTACCATTTGTTCCAGAGGTGCCCTCAGTGACTAAAGAGGAATACAAGGTGTCTTCTTTGCCAAAGAATGATTACTACAAGAAGCCATCAATTCCAGAAGATAACTACAAAAAGGTACCATTTGTTCCAGAGGAGCCCTCAGTGACTAAAGAGGAATACAAGGTGCCTTCTTTGCCAAAAAATAACTACTACAAGAAGCCATCAGTTTCAGAAGATAGCTACAAAAAGGTGTCATATGTTCTAAAGGTGCCCTCAGTGCCTAAAGAAGAATACAAGGTACCTTCTTTGCCAAAGAATGATTACTACAAGAAGTCATCAGTTCCAGAAGAAAACTACAAAAAGGTACCATTTGTTCCAAAGGTGCCCTCAGTTCCTAAAGAAGAATACAAGGTGCCTTCTTTGTCAAAAAATGACTACTACAAGAAGCCATCGATTTCAGAAGATAACTACAAAAAGGTGTCATATGTTCCAAAGGTGCCCTCAGTGCCTAAAGAAGAATACAAGGTGCCTTCTTTGTCAAAGAGTGACTACTACAAGAAGCCATCACCTTCTCCATCACCACCACCTCCATATTATTAAATTTCCATCTTTCATGTTCAACATGGATGTTTCATTTTAGTCCTTCTCCAGCTCAACATATATAACCCATAGGGTTCTCATATTATGAGTTAGAAGGCATGATATCAAAATTTGTATTTATTTATTTATTTATTTTTCCTTTTCCTACTTCGGTTTGTAATTGTTTTGTCATTTAAATTCTATATTTTGAACGAGAAATTTATTTCAATTGAATACAAGTTCTTTTTATTGAGAGTTTATGTAGTTTTCATCTATTCTTCCATCAATTACCAATTTGTTCACTTACTATTAATAACAAAACTCTGGAACATAACAACAATCAAATAATATTTCAAAAATAGGTTACTAAGGATTATATTGGGTGAATCGCCTGATATATTACTCAATAGAATTGGAAAGAAGAAAGAAACGATCTCTATTGTTATAAACATACAATTCTTGGGAGATAAAGAAATAAAGCGAACCATTTCAATCAGATAAAGAAAAACTCGACGATAAATATTACACTACTTAAGATAAAATGTCACAAATTTTTCATTAGCCCTTCAATATTTATCATTTAGTTATTGTTAAGGTGCATTTGATCTATATTGCAGAAGTTCTATGCTTAAAGTATGAAATTTTTTAAAGCCAGAACTTCTAAAATATTTTGAGAGTGTTTTTTTTAAAAATAAATTCATTGACTCAATTATCTTTGTGGTAGGGTTTGATCCTAGGGAAGATTGAAGTAATATCTCATATATAGAGCAATTTTTTTTCTTAAAAATAGATCATACATGACGCAAATTTGAATCAATTTGAGTTAATAACCAAAAACATCAGATATATGACATTAAAACAATAGCTTCTAATTTTTTCCTGTTTGTATCAAGAAGAACTAATCGAACCCAAAATATTGTCATTCTTGGTAATGAAAAGTATTCATGGTATCTCGCAAGGATAAGAGAGGAAAGAGATCGATTTCTTCTGCCAACATATGCTTTTCCAATTGATTTGTCACAACAGGCTTGCTCAGAGTTGCTTACATCTCATGTATGATTTGTATGATATTACACATAAGCAGATTTATTCAATGTGCATCCAAAAAATAGCAACTGTGATTTTTAAAAAAAAAAGTAAGTGTGGTGCCATGATGTGGATTATGAGTCGTGCACAACAAGTACATATAATTAATGGACACCAAATAATGAACAATATCTTTTAGGCCTACACATAGCTCAACTTTTAAAAACTAGTAATTTAATCAAATTTTCACTATACCAACAAAAAAAAAAAGAACAACATTCTTGGAAGTCAATAAAAAATTGGGTTAAAACTTTAAAAATAGGTGAGTCAAGCAAATGAGTATGAATGATCATGGCTTCCCATTATCACAAAACCTTAGTGGAATAGTACTAACCAAAAAATGGCAAAATATTTGATATGTTTGGATTATTTATATTTTTAGAGCATCCAAATTAAATAACCAAATCACCATCTTAGTTATGTTATATAAACTCCTAATTCCTCCATTCTAAAACACACTAGAAAAAGAAAAATAAACAAATATCTAGCTTTAGAATCCAATTCTTCTCAATGGGAAGCCAAATGAAGAAGCAATGGCTTCAATTTGCTTGTGCTTTGGCATTTTTCTTAATTGCTACCTGCACTATGGCATATCCACCTTATTCTTATGAATCATCATATTCAACATACAATAAAGTACCAACCACAATAGTCAAAAGTGAAGACTTCAAGGTACCCTCAGAGTCGGAAAAGGAATATAAGTCCTCATTTTGGCCAAAGAATGATTACTACAAGAAGCCATCAGTTTCAGAAGATAACTATTAGAAAGTACCTTTCGTTCCCGAACATGAATCATTCTTGCCAAAGAATGATTACTACAAGAAGCCATCATTTTCGGAAGATAACAACAAGAAGGAGCCATATGTTCGAGAGGTACCCTCGATGGCTAAACCAGAATATAAGGAGTCATTTTTGCCAAAATTTGACTACTTCAAGAAGCCATCAGTTCAGAAAGATAACTACAAGAAGGCGTCATATGTTCCAGAGGCACCTTCGATGGCTAAACCAGAATATAAGGAGTCATTTTTTCCAAAATTTGACTACTTCAAGAAGCCGTTAGTTCCAGAAGATAACTACAAGAAGGTGTCATATGTTCCAAAGGTACCCACAGAGCCTAAAGCGGAATACAAGGTACCATCTTTGCCAAAGAATGACTACTATAAGAAGCCATCAGTTCCAAAAGGCAAGTACAAGAAGGCATCATATGTTCCAGAGGTCCCCTCGATGGCTAAACCTGAATATAAGGAGTCATTTTTTGCCAAAATTTGACTACTTTAAGAAGCCATCAGTTTCAGAAGATAGCTACAAAAAGGTGGCATATGTTCCCAAGGTGCCCTCAGTGCATAAAGAAGAATACAAACTGTCTTCTTTACCAAAGAATGATTACTACAAGAAACCATCAGTTCCAGAAGATAACTACAAAAAGGTGCCATTTGTTCCAAAGGTGCCCTCAATGACTAAATATGATTACAAGGTGCCTTCTTTGCCAAAAAATGACTACTTCAAGAGGCCATCAGTTCCAAAAGATAACTACAAAAAGGTGTCATTTGTTCCAAAGGTACCTTCAGTGCCTAAAGAAGAATACAAGGTGCCTTCTTTGTCACCTTCTCCATCATCACCACCTCCATATTATTAAATTCCCATCTTTCATGTTCAACATGCATGTTTCATTTAAGTCCTCCAGCTCAACATATATAATCCAGGGGGTTCTCATATTATGAGTTAGAAGGCATGGTATCAAAATTTGTAATTCTTTATTTATTTATTTTTCCTTTTCTTACTTCGGTTTGTAACTGTTTTGTCTTTTAAATTCTATATTTTGAATGTTTCGAGAAATTTATTTCATTTGAATACAAGTTCTTTTTATTGAAAGTTTATATAAGTATATAGATTCATCTGGATTAGTCGGGCTCCAAGACAGATACTAGACAGTGCAAAATGGGAAACCAACCATATAAAGGAGTATATTGATTCATCTATTTTCCAGTAATTGCCAATTTCTTCACATAAATAGAGTAGCAAAACACTGGAACATAACATGGAAAACATAAGAAACTTCAAATACGTACTCCAGGTAACCAAAACAACAAACAAAAATAGAGAAAATAAAAAAGTTGGACGAACGGTACAAGCAATATTATTTTATAAGTGCCATTGAGTAATTACTTTATCCAAATATGAAATTGTGGTTACTCAACTACTAGTTATTAGTTTAAAAAATCACTTTTTTTGTTGAAGGAAGTTGGAATCAAGAAAAAAAAAGACTTTCTCGGTTAATAACTATTAATTTAGTGACCATATGAGAAATCAACCGGTAATAATGTCTAAAAATGTCCTTTATTTGGGCTCATTTTGTGTTAAATTAAAGTTACAAAACTTCCAGCCATGGATCATTTTTATCAGATAAAAAGAAACCAAGAGATAAATGTTAAAAATGTTTTACTACTCACAATAAAATGTTATATATATATATATACACATTATTGCATTTAACTAATAAATTTTTCATTGACCATCTTCATAAGTTTGTGTGAATAAGAGATATATGACGATCCACATTGAACATTCACAAAAGAATCTGCAATATTATTTTGTGCGAAGCTTATTATTCAAGTCTATACTTAAATTTTCTGAATTGATAATCATGTGCAACGCATGTGTTGAAAATCTAGTATATATATATATAAGAATTGGTGATTTAATCATCTTCTAGTTGATTTAAGTTAAAAGTTTTATAGACTAAATCATCTACTAGTAGTATATAAGTAATGCAGGTACATTAATGATATATATCATAGTTGTACTGACAGAATAGTGCAAATTGAGAATTTAGAACATGCTGCCTACTAAACTGAAGTGCTTTATAACATTGAGATATCTATTGGGTAGAAAGTGAACGTTAGAGCATTAATCTAATTCCCTCATTATAATTGTTGAAGTGTACACTTAGCCAAGACGGAACAACAGATAAGGGCTTTTCGATTCAATTGTCCGAAGAGGATGTCAAATTATCTAGAATCCATGATCAACTGATGTAAGTAATGCAAGTAAGAAGAAGGTTACTTGGGAGAGAAGAGGAGAAAAATCTTTCATATCACTGAATGAATATATTGTACTACATTATATACAGTACTGACACTTCTAACAAACTTTCTATCTGACTTATTCTAACCAACTCTACTCATCATTAATAAGCTCACTTAATCAAGTGATTAGATTTAACAACCAACTACTTCAACTAATCAGTGTACATCTACACATTTATTGATTTCTTTCACACTCCCCTCAAGCTAGAGGCTATGAAAATGTTCTTCATCCCTAGCTTGGACATCAAATATGAGTGTAGGTGTCGACCAAGTCCTTTTGTGAACAGGTCAGCAGGCTGTTCTGCAGTAGGCAAATAGACAGGCATAATCACACCTTCTTGAACCTTTTCTCTAATAAAATGACAGTCTATGTCAATGTGTTTGGTCCTTTCGTGGAAGACAGGATTGGCAGCTAGTTGGAGTATTGTCAGAGAACAATGTAACAGGAACCTTAATATCTATGCCAAGCTCTTTAAACAAGCTAGTCATCCGCACCACTTCTGCAACTGAAGAAGCCATGACCATGTATTCAGCTTTAGCTGAACTCTGATCGTCCTCATTTAGGGCTTCTTTTTAATAGATTTAGTACCCTCAAATGCATATTTTGTGCCAATAACTGATGTAAATCCTTAAATTTCAGGTATTTGGATTGAGGAACAAAGCATGGACACTAATGAGCAAAAAGAAACAAGACAGCTGAAAGGCCGAAGAAAAGAAGGCTTGAGGATCGCCTAATCCATTGGGTGAATCTCCGAATGGCTAATGTCTCGCCTAATGTTCCAGTGTGCCAAGCCCTGAAGGAGAAAATCAAGTAGGCGATAGAAAGGAGCAGTCGGCGAGTCGTCGAACGGTTCCGCGATGCAGTGCCATATCGCCCAAAGTTACAAAGCTTGAAGTTCTTGAAGGCCAAAGCAAAAAGGTGATGGAATTGACCAAATTGAGGATCGCCGATCCAATCAGCGATCCCGACTTATTGCGCCGAATAGTCCTTTGCAGCACATTTTTGGGCGACTATAAATACATTTTTAAATCTTTAGTTTAGTATCAAACATTCAATAGTTTTCATTTTTATTCAGTTTTCAAGTTTGAGAGCTGAGAACTGAGTTTAGAGACAATATTTCCTTAGCTTTGAAGATTTCCAATTCTGAGAAATTGGAAGTGGGTGTTGAAAATTCTTCATATTAGACCTTTGTAAAGACTATATCAATCCTATCCACTTGATGGAAACACAACTTGGTAACGATTTTTACCTTTTTATGATGTCTAGCTAAAACCCCAATTCTTGGGGTGTGATTATGGGTTGATTTAGCTGTTGGGTATTGTTAATTGATAGTGTAAATGTTGTTTAAAAGTGATTTCGTTCATTAATTGTGGTTGAATTAATGAGTTGTAGTTGCAAATACAATCCTAACTTCATGTTTTTGACTTTCTCAAGAGAGAGGTTTTAAAACCAAAATTTCTAAATCGATGGTCTGTGGATATTGGGTTGTTATGGGTTCAGCTCGAGAGAGTGAACCCTAAACCCTTTTCCACACATTCAGCTCGAGAGAGTGAATGGACTAAAGAGAAGGTTGTTCTTAATTGCTGCTTATTGGTGTTCGAGAGAAACCAATTTGATTCGGGGTAAATTATTCGAGAGAAAGTTTACCCCATTAAAGTCTAGCTTATTCACTGATTTACAACTATTCACTATTAATTGCAATTACCCGGTTGTCTACCTTAGCCCATAATCCAATCACATCCCAAGAACCCGTCCCTATACTTGTTATTTTGGTATTATTTGTTGTTGTAGCTGATAGTTGAAACAAATCCCCCTGATATTTGACACTTGTGTCACCCATAACTTGAACCATGCTTTTATTCGTAAATATTTTTAGCTATGATTGACTTGATCATATCCTTACTTACCTATTGATTCTCAATTACAAACCACTCCCTTAGGACTCGACCCCAACTCACTAGTTGGGTTATATTACTACTTTACGATCGTTGGCACTTAGTATTGGATGAAGTGCCCTGATATGTGAAATCAAACTCCTGGAAACATTAGCTCGTTTCTTAGACTTCCAAGATATAGGAGATTTCCCATATTGCATCAAGTAACCAGTAATTGATCTCTTACTATTAATACAAACTCCCGAGTCAGCATCACAATATATCCTCAATAGTTCATCACCATCAAATGCCATAAATATCCCAGTTCCTGGTTCATATTTCACATATTTAACCAACCTCATAGCTGCTTCCATATGAGATTTCCTTGGAAAATGCATAAATTGACTCAGACGTTGCACAACAAATGCAATGTCTGGTCTGGTGGTTGTGAGGCATAGTAATCTCCCAATAAGTTTCTGATAACCAATGGGGTCTTCCAGTCCTAGATGTTCATGTGACAAAGGTATATGCTAATCAAATTCAGCTGTAGTAAGCCTCTGGTTCTGATCCATTGGAATTGGAATAGGTTTAGCACCTGCAAGTTCCATATCTGCCACTAATTCCAAAACATAATTTCTTTGATACATTAAGATGACAACTTTGCTTCTAGCAAATTCAATGCCAAGAAAGTACTTTAGCTCTCCCAAGTCTTTGATTCTGAAGGTTGTATGTAGGACTTCTTTGGTGTGTTGTATCATTGAGTGATCATTTTCAATCAACAACAAATCATCTGCATATACCAAGACCATGGCTATCTTATCTCTTCCTCTTTGTAAACCAGCTGAAGTCAGGGTTGTGTTTAATATTTCATTGCCTGGATGCTTGCTTGAGTCCATACACGAATTTTAGAAGTCTGCACACTTGACCATCACCTTTTCTCTGTTTGGAAAAACTTCTGGTATAGTCATATACACTTCTTCATATAGGTCTCCTTGGAGAAATGCATTATAGACATCCATCTGATATAACATCCATCCTTTAGCTGCTGCTATAGAGATAATTGTTGCTACAAAGATAATAGCCATGACTGTGTTCATCTTGACCACAGGGGAAAAGGTCTTTTGGTAATCCAATCATTCTTTTTGGTTGTATCCATTTGCTACTAATCTAGCCTTAAATCTTTCAATCTCCCCATTTGGGTTATACTTGATTTTATATACCCATTTACATCCTATTGTATTCTTGTCCTTGCGAAGTTTTACAATTTCCCAAGTGTTATTGTCTTCCACTGCCTATATTTCATCTTTCATGGTTGTCATCCACCTCTTATCAACTGCAGCTTCAGCATAGTTAGAAGGCTCAGTTTTTATTGAAAATTTGTTCATAAAACTCTGATATTTTGGTGAAAGACCATCATGGTCGATATAGTCGCCAATGGAATACATATAAGTACTTGATCATGCCTTAACTACATAGTCTTTGTGCCATATATAAGGTTTGGATCTCCTTGTTGATCTCCTGATATCAGAAGTATTAGCATTAGAAGGCAAAACCTCTTCAATGTTGTTGTCTGAAACAATACTAATATTTTCATGCGGTAACCCCATATTAGCTCTATTATTCTCCCCCTCCATTTTAACACCATTATTCTCCTCTTCTATATCAACATTAATGGGAGGTAAAACTTCATGATCCTCTGATCCAATGTCAACAGGAAGAGAATGCACTGTCAAATCATCATATGAGAAGTGGTACTGTAGCATAGTGACATCTTCTTGTGCCCCTGAACATTTTCTTTGAATGGGAAAATTCCTTCCATGAACACAACATCTTGACTAACAAAAAATGTTTTAGTTGCAAAGTCATACAACTTGTAACCTTTCTGATATGTACTATAACCAGCTAGTATAGCCTTCACAACCCTAGGGCTGAATTTTTCCTTCTGAGTAAGATTGGTTGCAAAAGACAAGCACCTTATAACTCTCAAATGCACTAATGAAGGAAGTTTGTTATACAATAATTCAAAAGATGACTTGCCATTGAGCACATTGAAGGGTATTCTATTCAAAACATATATAGCTGACTCTATGTATAAGCCCCAAAAACTGTTAGGCAGACCTCCTTGAAACTTGATTGCTCTGGCAGTTTTAAGGATGTGTCTGTGCCTCATTTCAACAACATCATTTTGATGTGGCGTGTAAAGACGAGCTCTCATGTAATTTACCATATCTCTGTAACAACTGTTTGCAATCATTACTAAAAAACTCTCCACCATTATCAGATCTTAGCCTTTTGACTCTTTTGTCAAACTGTGTTGCTACTTCAGTGAAGAAATTTGTAGTATCATTAAGACATTTGACTTAAGTCTGATCAAGAAAACCGATGTCTATCTTGTATGATCATCAACAATAGTGAGGAGTTATTTCATGCCATCAAAAGTATTACATTTATATGGTCCCCAAACATCAACATGTATTAATTGGAATGCAAAGGTAGACCTATGCATACTATTTGGGAAAGACAATCTAGCTTGTCTAGCAAGTTGACATATTTCACAATTCTTCAAAGTAAAAGAATTATTCTTACAAGCATTATAAAACATATGCATTTTCTTAAGGACATTTACTGGAACATGACATATCATTTGATGTCATATAAGAACATCTTCCTTTTGTGTTGATGCAAAGCACCTGTTACCAATAGTTCCCTTCTCTGCGTGTGAGTACAGTGTGTAAAGCACATCCTTCTGCTTACCAATCTCCATCACCTTCCCAGATGAGAGATCATGTAACACACAATAATCTGGATAAAAAATAGCACAATAATTCAAGTCTTTTGTCATCTTGAAGACTGATATAAGATTAAGCTTGAAAGCTGGCACACACAAAACATTTGTTAGAATATCACCTCCCCCTAGGCTGCAGTTTCCAACATGTAAGACTCTTGCTGAATCTCCTGTGGGCAACTGCACCTGACCTGCATGTTCTAGTAGACCACCATTCATCAAAAACTTAGGATCACCTATCATATGATTAGTAGCACCAGTGTCTACAATCCATTTCACAAAAGTATTCTCATGGTGACAAAGAGTTCATGTGCCGGCTATGTTAACACTCCCACTGACAGCTTTATTTCCATAAGGATAGACCTCCCTTTGTCCAAAAAAATTTGGTGGAAAATGTGGCATTATACCCTGGTGTTGTGTACATTGTTGTGGATATGGATCATATCTAGGTTGAATAGGTTGATGACAACACTGAGGTTGCATCATTTGTGGACCTGCAAAAGCATTATCATTCAAATTGTTACCAACCAAGGGACCAGTTACTGCATTAGATTGTCTCTTTCCCTTGTAGTCAGCAGGATACCCAATTAGCTGAAAACAGTCTGCCTTCACATGTCCAGTTTTGTGATAAAAATCACATTTCTTCAATTTGTTGCAATCTCCTCTAGTGTGACCCTTTGTGTGGCAGTAATCACAGAAAACTTGTCCATTATAGCCCATTTTCTGCTTGTATGTATCACCCCAGGCCTGGAAGAGTACATAGTTGTGGGAATTGAATATTCCCACGACATTTTACTAGTGTCTGCCACAATTCGCTGGCATTCATCTTGATTCACCATTGCATAAACCTGGTTAACATTAGGAACTTGTGGCATCATCAATATCTAACTTCTAGCTTGACTATAACTATCATTTAGTCCCATCAAAAACTGCAAAACCCTTTGATATTGTAGATGATCAGAGAATTCTCTAGACTTAGGACAATCATATGAAGGTGGAGGCATGATCAAATCATACTCATCCCATAAAGCCTTCAACTTAGAGTAATATACAGAAACTGAAGATAAACCTTGAACTAATCTTCGGCTCACTCTACCATCGATAAAACCCATCTTATTTCTCCCCAATAAAGCTAGTTCAACAGCTCTGCTCCACAAAGTGTAATTTTCCGATCCAGTCAACATAATTCCAATTGATAATGATCCAGGAGCATCTGAAGGATACAAGAAAAGAGGATGATGGTAATCAATTGAAGGCGTAATGAAAGTTGCAGTCGCGTAAGCAGTTTCCCCCAAATTGCAGCTTCAAAGAAAATGAGTACAGAATCCCTCAAAAACTTCACTGTATTTGAAAGTATTCCCTTCGATTCACACTCATGGATGCTCTGATACCATGTCAAATTATCTAGAATCCATGATCAATTGATGTAAGTAATGCAAGTAAGAAGAAGGTTACTTGGGAGAGAAGAGGAGAAAAATCTTTCATATCACTGAATGAATATATTGTACTACATTATATACAGTACTGACACTTCTAACAAACTTTCTATCTGACTTATTCTAACCAACTCTACTCATCATTAATTAAGCTCACTTAATCAAGTGATTAGATTTAACAACCAACTACTTCAACTAATCAGTGTACATCTACACATTTATTGATTTCTTTCACAGAGGATAAATAGAGAATCTACCTCCCGTGGACATACTCTGTAATCTTCAAACTGCTTCACCATGGCGGCATCCCAAATCCAAAATCCTCCCCTAATACCAATGATACAATTGTACCTCACCTAGTCCCTTAAGTCCCAGAAAACACTATTTCCATTTCTAATACCACAATATCCATCCCTAATAAATCTATATCAATAGACCTGCCATTAATACCACAAAATGCCAAGCCCTTTTTATCACAACAAATAAGGGCAACTCAAAAAATGACTTTATTCTCACAAACTCAGAGACCCACTTCAAACCAAGCCATGGAAAGCAACATGAATCCAACGAACCTCTTTCCAGTTCCCTACCCTCCGTTTCCAACAACTCCCATAACAATAGGGAAGAACATTTTTATACAATTCAGGATCCCCTGCTAAACTCATAGCCCGTTTGGATTGACTTTAAAAAATAACTTTAAAATCAAAAATAAAAAGTCAAACTAAAATGACTTTTAAGTCAAAAAAATAAAAAGTAGGGAGAGACCTTCTTTTAGTTTTTGACTTATTCTAAGTCTATTTTGACCTCACTAAACATTTCATAACTTATTCTAAGTTATTTTTTATATTTGTCAAACACTTCCAGAAGTCAAAAACTAACTTAAAAGTAGGTTTGACCAACTTTTAAGTCAATCCAAACACCCTCTTAGTACTCTAATCATGGTTGGAAATATGACTTCAGGACCAGGCTCTACCTTTATCAACCATTGAAGATTGTTAGGAGGTAGTGATAGTAGCCTAGAAGCCTACCTTCCTAGCTTAGGTAGTCTCTGAGGGAATGAGTTTGGCAGGGGAAGCTTACAACCACCATGTCTGGATGACATCGATCCTACACCCCTCTCTATCTTTCTGGACTCACCAAATACCTTTTTATCTCTTTCCAACTTGGGAGAAACCACTATTCAACCCTTTGAGCCAAATGCAGGTTCAAAATCCTTTCCTACCACCACCGTCCTTCATCCCGCATCAAGCTTAGGAAGGAGCTCTATCCCATGGACCATCCAGATGAAGGGACAAGAAATGAATCCAACTAACATAGTGATGGAAAGAACCTCCAATAGAGGAGCGGAGGACCTGGACATGAATATTCCCATACATGTAATGCCATCCTCCCAGGCACCACATCAAACTAGTTCCCCTCGCCCCCGATAGTCGTTGTTGACACCCAATTTTGACCCTCTACAGCATAAATTAATCATCGAACTTCTTCAATTTCAAACGATTTAAAATAAGTAGTTTTATAAAAATTGCAAAAAAAATAATAATAAATTTAGTGTGCAAGCTATTTTAAATAGTTTCGTCACTTTTTATAAATTTTAAATAATATATATGTTTTTTAGATAATTATGTATATAATTAGTATATTTTATGAATGTTCAAAAATTATCTTAAAAGAATTTATTTTTTGGTTAAATATTTTATTAATTAGTTTAGTGTAAGTTGGTTTATATTTTTGAATTAATTAATTTATAATTAAGTTAATTATTCTGTTTCGTTAAGATTAAGAAGCTCATTAATTAATTTATATTAACTCGTCTTTTATTTTACCTTACCTTAACTCACTTTTGGACCAGCTTTGGGCCATTGTCACAGTCCTATTTTAATCAAGCCCACTATACTCATTTCAGCAACCCATTCCAGTTCACATCAGCCCATTCCCTTACATTTCAATACCAAAAGATCCAGTCTAACAATATCCTTCAATACCAAATAATTCTCATCCCATCCCAACACAACATACAATACGGGAACGCTGCAAACGACCCGACCCCACTGCTTCATCTTCTTCCCTACGCGACTAGACCCAGCAAAACCAGCGAGCAAATCGCGTTGCAAACCCAGTAAAATCGCAGAAATTCAGCAGCAAATCACGACCTCTAGACTGACTCCTCCCTCTCCATTATCAATCCGTTGTAGATTGTTGAGATAGGACTATTGATAGCTCCTACAGCCTTATCCAGTGAGTTTGAATTCAAATTTCAAAATTTGAAATCTCTACAAATCCACCCATTTTTTCCCTTTTTTTTCGTTCTCAATCTCCCCTATATATAAATAGCCCCTTCTCTTCATTGATTTAAGGCGGCTTTCGGGGGCACCCTCTGAGGAACAAGTTTATTTTTACTCTCAAAGAACATAAGGTTTATAACCTAAAGGCTAATCTTCTATAAAAGTGATGTGTCGATTCTCCGCTTTCTTAAATCAAACTTGTGTTGGTGGAAGTTTCTTCGAAGTTAAGATCGTTGTCTCCCGTTTGCTGCCTCGAAGAAGGTAACATTCCGTTCATTCTTCTTTTCTTTCAGTTTATTTCATTTCAACGTTATATGAAATCTTTAGTGTATTGTTAATACGTTCTTGTGATCATCATGTTTGTCTCGTGTATTTAGCCATCTGAGTTTGTTCCCGTTTAAATTCTTATGTATGCTCTGATTTGCCCTAGTTATAATATTGAGCTTTCTAAATATGTTTAATTTCTCACCCCTTTCCCTTGGAATTGTTCTTTAGTTCAAGTATAGCTCATATGTTGATGAAATATTGTTGCCTTAATAATTTTTTACCATGAATCTACATTTGGATGCGATATGGCCCAAGTTAATGTGTATTGCTACTTGTTTTCCACCAAATGGTTTGTTACTACATTTAGCAATACAACATAAGCTCTTGCTTCGGTCATATTATATGTAGACCCATCTAACTTATAATGTCTGGACACTAGTGTAGTCTCGAGTATCTTTGGTTATGATTTTAACACATTCCAGTGTCAACTTCTAGATGCATT